AGAGCTTGATTAGCTGGTTCAGATGTGTTTAATTGGGGTTAGAGCTAAACTCTTCAGGACACCGGCCCTCCAGGACCGAGTTTGGACACCCCTGATTTAGACCAAAAAGGTTATTCTATGGCATCGTGAAACCGTTATTTTTAAGAGTGTAGAGCTCATCAAATATTGTAAGTGGAAGCTTGTAACACGCAAGCATGTTTGAATTTTCACAAAACCCAGTGAGGCTTGTTTCAAGTATGGTTGGGATTCCATTTACCATATTTGATGTATGCTATTGCTCTCTCTATATATATGCATTGATCAATTATTATATGTGAATAAAAACCTAAATCTGAATCTGTTAATCATATGAAGTAATCTTTTCCCTTTAGAAGAGTTGGATGAAACTGATTCATATGGATCTCTTTATGAACTTTTTAAAGCTTGAAAGTTTTGGCGGAATTAACTTTCAATGGAGGGACAGAAATCTCTCAAGTTACATAAAAAACAAACAAACATGGCTTTAGAACAACATGAGGGTGACAATGGCAGAATTTGACATTTTAGGGCAACTCTCTTTAATCCTATCCTTAAATGTAGCATTTTAACATGAATCAAGAGTGCTCCACAATTGGAACATTTCATGTTTGAGACTCTGTCAGACTGATGTGTTTGTGTGCTTCAGGGGAAGCTGACGAGTCAGGGAAAGCTCTTGCAGCAGGAGACGTTCTTTGTGACAGAGCAGGACTCTGGCGTTCTGTCCCGCAGTAAGGAGCGCAGGGTCTTCCTGTTTGAACAGATCGTCATCTTCAGCGAGCTCTTACGCAAAGGCTCGTCCACGCCAGGATACCAGTTTAAAAAGAGCATCAAGGTAACCGCACCACTCTTAGTCATATAGCATGTTCGCTGTTGATTTAATCCCAAAGTGTATTGAATTTGTTTATGCATACAGATTTTTCTACGCACATATCCACACACACACACACATGTGCCAGTGCCTTGAGATTTATTTGCACCAATTAGTTTGTCCACAAGGTGGCAACACTACCTAGTGATAGCAGAAATTAAACTTGAATTTGCAAAGTTCAATTGCACTTTACTCTAAAAGAGGTAAAAACCATGTAGACACTAGTTTATGGGTTCACAGATCACAGCAACGAAACATTGAAATTCAGAAAAGTTGAAACCAGGTGTGATGCTGACTTGTGTGTGTGTGTGTGTGTGTGTGTGTGTGTGCAGGTGAGCTTCCTTGGCCTGGAAGAGCATGTTGAAAACGATCCCTGTAAGTTTGTGCTGTCGTGTCGTGGCTCAGCCGAACGGTTCACCCTGCAAGCTGCAAACACGGACATTAAACAGGTCTGGGTTCAGCATATCACCGAGCTACTAGACTTACAGAGCAACTTCTTGTCAGGTAAGATGTCACATCGATATGAATAAAATAGACTCTCCTTTTGTTGAGCTATTGAAAGCATTGGTGCACCTGTCTACAGCTCTGCAGTCTCCCATCGAGTATCAGAAGGAGCGCAGCGGCTCTCAGTCTCTGACCCGAAACTCCTCCAGCGGTGGGCGAGTGGGTCAGGCCAACAGCAGGCCCAGCTCCACTGTGTCTCTCGGGGCAGAGAAACCCTCTCTGTCTGGACGGAGCTCCACTCCCATAAAGCTAACTACCTCCAGCAGTGGTCCATGCCACGACAGATACCACAGGGTGAGGACACAGCACCTCTGCTAACTTTAAACATCTGCACGCTAGAGTTTATGCTGACTCCATAGAAATCCACACTTGAATGATGTTGTTTTTCTCAAGAATATTTGCGTGACTCATCCATGATTTTCAGATGGCTGTTAATCCATAGACTACACAAGAGAGGGTAGAGGCCCACCTGTAGTTAGTCACATGACCATATTCCAAAATAATGCTGAGGAACCGTTACTGTCCATTGGCTCATTTTGACAGCTTACCTAACTGGATTCTTAAAACAAGCCCTCTGTTGCTTCCAAGTGTTGTCTAAAAGATTAAAATCACAATGAAATGGAAGTAGTGACAGATCTTTTCTTCTGTATTTTGGCACACATACGATTATTGAAAAAGAAAAAAATCAGGACGGGGGCTTGGTTTTATACATCAGGTGTTGATTGGATGTTGAGATGTGGGCGTGGCTCTCAAAAAAGGAGGCAGATGAATGCAAGCTCAAATTGGCGGGTTTATGCTGACTAAATGATTAGAGAAGTCTTGCATCTCTCTGGAAGGTTAAATTTAACATTTTGAGTAAACCGTACGAACATTCGCAAAATTTTGCGTAAAAAGGTCCAATGTCTATTGTCAATAATGTAGTGATGCACGAAGCAGTGCTCACACAGAAGTCACTTTCAAACCAAGCAGCTTTCTGTTAATAAACCCTGCACATTTCTGTGACTATCCTGAATCTAATGCACATTTTGCATGGGTACATTTTTTTTCCCCCCAAAATTCCCTTGCATGTAATTTTGCAGAGCAATGGTAAATGTGACCACACTTTTAATAGCGAATTCGCCAATGTCCCTACAACCCCAAAATAGACTTGAAAATGTTCAAATCATGAAATTAGGTTGTGAAAACGACTTGCAATACAGAGATATTAAGTTGAAACTCTGAGTTTACTCCCGGCAGTTAACCGATCAGTATTACTGGCACACTGTTCTTCACTGTTTAGAAATTAACAGCTTTTTTCTATTTTATGCCCCTCAGCAGGGAGTTGGACACTTGAAAAACACCCCACAGAGAATTTAGTTGCACTTTTTTACAGTACGTGTACTTACATGTACTTACAGTGTACCTACCTAAGAAAGTTCTGGTAATACCTGGTAACTACATGGGGTAGGGTTAGGTTTAGGAGTAGGTTCAGGGTTAGTACCTAGTTATTACCTAGTTATTGTAATTACTATAAGTAGTACATAGTATGTACATGAGGAACAGGACTGTAAAATAAAGCGCTATACCCTTAATTTTACAATCCTGTTCCACAAGTACATAGCATGTAGCCTACTTATTAGAGTAATTACAATAACTTGGTAATAACTAGGTACTAACCCTGAACCTACTCCTAAACCTAACCTTAACCCATGTAGGGGTTAACCTTTCTTAGCTAAGTGCAATATACTGTAAGTGCACATTCTGTAAAATAAAGTGCAACTGACATATTAACATATCCTTTGAAAAGGTGCTAATGTGTTCTTGACTACTGAAGTTTAAGGTTTGGTTGGCATATTAAGTGTTTTATTTGTGTGTGTGTGTGTGTGTGTGTGTGTGTGTGTGTGTGTGTGTGTGTTTCCTACAGCAGTTTGACGGTGTGGGCTGTAACGGTACGTCGTCCTCCCTGATGGTGACTCAGGACTATAATGCACTGAAAGAGAACGAAATCTGCGTCACGCAGGGTGAGACGGTGCAGATACTGGCCACTAACCAGCAGAACATGTACCTGGTGTACCGATCCGCTAACAGCCAGTCGCCGGCCGCGGAGGGCTGGGTGCCGGGACACATCCTGGGCCCCCTCGCTAAGCCCCTCATAGACACTACTGCAGACTCAAACATCAAGTAAGTGTCAATCAACACTAACTGGAGCTCTGATTGGATTGTTTAAGACTGCACGCCCGTTTTTGAACACCCCCACCCCATTCTGTTGGAACTAACCCGGATGTTTTGGACCCTTTTGCACAGGAAGTTTTGATTTTCTTCTTGAGCTTTTTTTTTTCTTGGCTAAAAGTTAAAAACAAAGACAGATAAATGTTGAAAGGACTTTAGCGAAGCCATGGTGTTGTTGTTTTGTAGACTGAGGATTTGTGAAGAATCTTACATCAGTGTGGAAACGGATACGTCTGGACACTTATTTCAGTTCCTAACACCCTGTTTCTGTTGTTTCTATGTTTTTTTTTTGTTTTTTTTTGTTGTTATAATTTGTGTGAAAAGAGAACAAAAAGTGAAAGAAAGGCCTTCTGAAGAATTTGGCCGGTTTCTCCTGATGGAGAGCATATACTGTTGTCTATGGCAATTTTTTTTTATAGGTTGTGTATTTGTTTTAATTGTATTTTTGTATAGATTTTTTTTTCTTTTGTTTCTTCTACAGGATCACATGTTGGCCATTTACTGTAAATACTGTTGGTTTGTTTACTGTTTGTGGCACATTCCTGTAAACAGCTTTTTGCACTATTTAAGTGGACCTTTATTAATAAAGTCAGGTTTGTGCAATAGAACTACAGTTGCAATGTTGTAGTGTAACTAATGATTTTAAATGTATTATATTAAATATGTAAAATAAAATTTTGACATGCGCATGACTTAACACCACAAATACATTGTTTTATTTTTGTTTTCACAATTTCACAAAGTATAATAATTCCAAGTAAATGGTAATAGTACATTTTAAGAAATCCATTTTGTTTAGAGTGTAAAAGTGGTGCACCTTATTTTGATTTATTTCTTTAATTTGTTTCATTTTGTAATGTAGTGTGTAGAAGACTTATTTTGTGTTTGTACTAACCTCTCCGGTCCTTGACAGTAAAGGTTTGTGTGTGGAACAGTGTTAGCTGTGAATGATATGAATGACTGCTGTTCTCACACAAACCATGTGTCCACCATGGTGTAAGGATATAGCTTTATAGATTAGATTTATATACATAGACCACTGTTCTAAATTTTGGAGTCGGTAAGATTTTTTGGAAGAAGTCTCTTATGCAAATCAAGGCTGCATTTATTTGATCAAAAATAGAATTAAAACTGTATCATTGCAAATTATTATTATTATCACAGTTTAGAATAACAGTATTCGATAACACTTTACTTAAGGCCTTTCTGTATATTGCATTATAAAAAAAGTTTTAATGCATTAACTAATGCACCTTATCATGCATTGTACAATCTCATGAATAATTGTAACCACAGTTAATACATTATAACACTTATCAATTCATTGCTACACTATGCATTTTAAATTAAGTTATAATTATTTACAACAATATATAATGTATTACAATGCACTTTATGAATACTTAGAATGCATTATACTCTTTAATAACCCTTTATAATGCATTACACACATTATAAATGTCTTTACCGTCATTTCTGATCAATTTAATGCACCATTGCTAAAAGTATTAATTTCTTTAAAAGATAGATACATAAAGAAACAAACATCCGTTTTACTGACCCCAAACTTTTGAACAGAAGTGTTTTAGATATAATGCAAGATCTGATAGATTCTAGAGTACTAAATATGATAAAGCAAAAAATCAGTTATGCTTGTGTGATACTGAAATACAATGTGTATTTGTACTTTCTGAGGTCTCTGGAAATGGATGATAGATACTCCATACATTTTGCTAATGTTAAAAATAGGTTAACGGTATCGAGTGTCTTGCTTTTTCTTTTTGTGGACCCTCCTATTTCCCTGCTGAGAAAATGTTTCTCTTAAGTTGCTTTTCCTCGCTGTTAAGATTTGCATTTCCTCCAGCGTATGTGTGTTTGATGTGATGAAACTTGATGTTTTGACACAACAGGAAATCTCTCTCGTGGAACACGCTTCGTGCTCGCAAGCGTGCAGAGAAGGACAGTGCGCCCCTCAAAAGTGACATTAAAGTTGAGAATGGACTGCGTAAGCCAAAGGAAATTCTCAGCAGCAAAGTCAGTGTGTGTGTGTGTTTGGGCGGGCTGCATCTTCACCTGTGTGGAAATAAACACTGAACACATCACTCACCCCGCTTGCGTTTGTCCAGTGACAGCATGACACTGACAGTCACAAACAATGTTTCAAATATGAGCTTTTTTTAGGTGTTTTACATTGAAAAGTTGAATGATTACTGCATAATCTGCTAACAATTTAAGAGTAATACAAGTACGTGTCACACTTAAAATATAAAGGTTGGGTAGGGTTTGTTTGTTTTTTTGTTTGTTTTTACCCCAATATTTCAGTCTTAGTTTTTTTGAATAATCTCAATTATATAGTAAAATGTATTTAATAAACTTTATTATTATTATTAGTAGTAGTAGTAGTAGTATTTGGTAAAATGCCACAGTATAAAAGTTCCATTTTCTTCATTTGTAATTAATGACACTAATAAGTAATTAATTTCAAAACATAAGGATTGTTGCCTTCCTGTCATTTTGGCCTGGAGTTCTCCGTCCCTCTGTGCTTCTGTAAGTGTGTAACATTCTTCTCTCTCAATCCAAACCACAGGATACCCGCAGCTCGGATGAGTCCGATTGTGAGGATGAACTAGACCCCAAAACTAGTATGGAGGTAGAGATACTGATCTCGATGCATGCTGCCCAATAAGATTTGTATTTATTACATTTTTTTGTAATTATTTATTGTAATTATTATTTTGTAATAAACTGAAGTTATTAGTAAATAGATATGCTTTTTAAAGCTCTAATCTAAAGAAATGTCTAAACCTCTTTTTACATGAGTGTTGTTTTTATTTGGCCTACGTTGTTGTTGGTAAGTTTTTATTTTAACTAATTGTGTGGAGTGACTTGCATTTTCACACCAAGGACAAAAACTATAAAGTTTTCATAATCATTCTAATTCTATAAAATCAAGGAAGTTCACACCACAGCTAAAATAAAATCACTTTCAGACTTCACTTTCATCATTCACACATCAGAATAAACTAAATAACCATATCACACACTCATAATGAACAATGTTAATATCAGGTATCGTCTGGTATGGCTCCTAATGTAGTTATTGTTTTAGTTACCTGTATATTTATTGTTCTTGGTCTGAATGGGCCTTAACCCCAGTGTAAAGCTTTTGGCAATGTTCAGAAAGAAATACTGAATTCAAATCTTAATTCTTACTGCATACTGGGCAGAATATACAGCACTGAAAAAAAAAAATAATAATAATAATGTAGGATTTACTGAAATTAGGATAAAATCTTTTTTGGTTGCTCTAGAACAGAAAAAAACAGATGAGGCCTCTGTCAGAACGACGACTGGCTCTTATAACTGAAAGATGGACAGCCACCATATTACATGCTAAAAAAAGATATTTGTGGTTGATATTTTTAATTCATCACACTGGAAATCCAAGGTCAGTCAGAGCACATTGTGTTTCTGGAAATCACAAGCTGTGTGCTCTGGATGCATGTCTCTGATTTTCCCAATGTATTTGGTCTGGATTCATGATTTGACATACTACACAATAATAGCACACTGCAGAAACGGTGTTAGTAGTATGCTAGTATGCTATTTTGAACATACACAATGGCTGAAATCGAAATAGCATGCTAACATGCAACACTTACAATTCCCCCATATCTTAATATGGAAAAAATAGTACGAGTTGTATGTCATTTCAAATACAGCCAGTGTCTATCATGTCATGCGATGGTTCTGCCCTCTGTTGGTTTGTGCTGACATGACACAACATAAAACTTCCTCCTTTTTTTGTAGAGTCATATACATTCAGTATATGACTCTCTGTCTAGAATGCTTAAAGGATGCACATGTAACACTCATCTGTCTGTTTTGCAGTTACTGAACCCTAATTTCATCCAAGATGGTGAGTTTATTAATGTACAGATGCTGTGATGTTTAGTTTATTTGTATTTTCTGCTAGTGTATATTGTGATCATACATATGTCACCTGTAGCTTGTTTTAGAAGTGGAATTAAATATTTCCTTGGATGAAGTGAGATGAAAGAAGATCCATCAGAGTGACATTATGCGGTGTATTGATGTACAGTGGCTCCGGAGTTCCTGACGCCTCTAGCGGACGTGACGTGTGCTCTGGGGGAGACGGTGGTCCTGTGCTGTAAAGTCTGCGCTCGACCCAAGCCCACAATCACCCTGAAAGGACCCGATCAAAGTCTGCTGGTCAACAATAACCGATTCACGATCAATATCAGGTACAAATCCACAATCTGTCACAATGCAAATCTGTCACTGGGCCAGTACCTTGTCAGAAGGTACACCTTTGTACTAATTTACCTCTAAAAGGGGCATATTAGTACCTCAAAGGCACATTTCTACCTGTGTATATATTAGTACTAGTGCTGTCAAACGATTAATCGTGATTAATCGCAACCAAAATAAAAGTTTTTGTTTACATAATATACGTGTATACTATGTATATTTATTATGTATATATAAATACACACACATACAGTATATATATTTTGAAAATATTTACATGTATTTGCATGTATATATTTATATTCATATAATTTATATTGTATATAAATTAGTGCTGTCAAATGATTAATCGTGATTAATCGCAACCAAAATAAACGTTTTTGTTTACATAATATACGTGTATACTATGTATATTTATTATGTATATATAAATACACACACATACAGTATATATTTTGAAAATAATTACATGTTTATACATTTATATATTCATATTCTTATATTTTAGATTATATATATACATATATTTAATATATAAACTTAACATATTTTTCTTAAATATATACATGCATGTGTGTTTTTATTTATACTATATATAAATACACACACATACAGTATATATATTTTGAAAATATTTACATGTATATACATTTATATTATATATACATGAACATATATGAACATAAAATATTTTTCATAAATATATACATGCATGTGTTTGTATTTATATATACACATAATAAATATACACAGCATACACACATATATTATGTAAACAAAAACGTGTATTTTGGATGCGATTAATCGCGATTAAATCGTTTAACAGCACTAATTAGTACCCAAATAATACATGTTAATACAGGTACTTTTTGAAAGGGTATTGCCCCAGAGACAGCTTTGCAGCGTTGTTACTGAGTGTATATTGCAGTATGCTTGCTTTCAGGAAAGTGTTGAGGAACAAATAAATGTTTTACATTCAAGTTCAGATCATGTCTTCTGAATTTCTTTTGTGGGAAAACAGTACCCATGTAACCTCGGACATCTCATTGTAATGTAACTGTCCCATGATTCCTCTGGAGGTTTTTTTTTCTTTGCCACTGTGCCATTGACTGGTTCTCAACCCACCTATACAAAAGCACCGTACAAACAAAACACGGTTTGTCATTTTTCAATCCCCACCCAGTGCTAAAAAGATAAGTAGCTTCAGAAATGAAAACAAAATCTAACATAAAGGCAGCCTGGGTAAACACAAAACACAATTTTTAAATTGTGTTTTAAACAATGTTACTTATTAAAGCAAAACAGTTATTTAATGCCAACTAGGCCTGTGTGAAAATGTATGTGCCCCTGTAATTCATTCCCCAAATCTATGAAACTGCATTCATAATGGTGGTCAGTTGGACTAGATGCGACCAACCTGTTCAATACACCTTTTTCAACTGCATGAAGTTTGTTAAAAGGTATTTATTTTCCAGTAACACACTAAAGGTGAAATAAATTCCAAAAATGATAAGGAAGAAGGTGATTGAAATCAAGGAAGGGTTAAAAAGCTATTTCAAAGACTCTTGAAATCTAAAGACCAAAAGTGAGAGCCATTACCTCTAAATGGGAAAAAACTCAGCACAGTAGCGAACCTTCCCAGAAGTGGCCGACCTTCCAAAATTCCTTCGAAAGCACAGCGAAAACTCATCAAGGAAGTCATTAAAGACCCAAGGACAGCATTGTAGGAGCTGGAGGCCTTTCGTGCACCAATAAAGGTCAGTGTTCTTGACTCCACTAACCGAAAGACACTGACCGAAATTGGTGTCCATCGACAAGTGTGAGGCGAAAACCACTGCTAATGCAGGAGACCTTTTGGGAGAGTTGAAAGTGGAACTGTTTAGAAGACGGGTTACATCTGATGTAAACCAAACACTGAATTACACACACACACACACACAAACCCCATCATACTTATACAGTCAAGCATGGTGGTGGCAACCGAAAGACACTGACCGAAATTGGTGTCCATCGACAAGTGTGAGGCGAAAACCACTGCTAATGCAGGAGACCTTTTGGGAGAGTTGAAAGTGGAACTGTTTAGAAGACGGGTTACATCTGATGTAAACCAAACACTGAATTACACACACACACACACACACACACACAAACCCCATCATACTTATACAGTCAAGCATGGTGGTGGCAGTGTTCAGTGAGATTCAACTTCAAAAGACCGTACATTCTCCTTTCACAGCAGTCGAGAAAAACTGCAGGCCTCGCTTCAGGGCCTGGGCAACTTGCAATAATTGAGGGAAACATGAATTCTGCTCTCTACCAGAAAATCTTAAAGGAGAATGTACGGTCTTTTGAAGTTGAATCTCAAGTACAACTGGATTACGCATCAAGACAATGGTTCAAGTCCACCTCTGAATGGCTCAAAAAAAGTACATTTAAAATTGTGGAGTGGCCTAGACAAAGTCCTTACTTGACTCCAATTGAGATGCTGTGGCAGGACCTTCAACAGGCATTTCATGATCGAAAATCCTTCCAATGTGGCTGAACTAAAGCAGATTTTACATTTAAGGGGGCAATTAGTTTTTCACGTGGGTGATAGGTTTTGGATTATGAACTTAAAAAAATAAATAAATAAAAAGAATAAAAACCTGTATTATGTGAATTATTGTATTAACTATTTTATTTAAGCAAGAAAAACTCAAATGAATTATAACTAATAAAACAATTGTATAATAAAACAATGAAACAATTGTCTTTAAACTGTATTAAATGACCTCCTTAAAGATAATACTAGTCTAATAAACTTGAATGTAAATATATATTTGTATATATAATTGCTTTCGTCAAAGATTTATAAGATGATAGTTTTGCCATTATATTGTTATTTCTGAAAGTAGCTTTCTAAAGTAACGCTCTCTCTGTGTGCTGTGCCTGCTCAACTTCAGGGAATCAGGTGATATAGTGCTGAAAATCTGTAATCTGATGCCTCAGGATACTGGCATCTACACGTGTGTGGCTGTGAATGATCATGGCACTGCCTCCTCATCTGCATCTATTAAAGTACAAGGTAAAAAGAAACAAAGAGGAATAAAGATGGCGAGTGTACAACTCACCTTCCCACATGTTTGACTGTCCTCACGTTCTCTGGTGCAGGTATCCCAGCAGCCCCTGCTCGGCCTGTGGCACAGGAAGCCAGCAGCACTGCAGTGATTGTCCACTGGCTTCCTCCAGCCAGCTCAGGAAACTCTGCCATCTCCAGCTACACTGTGGAATACAGACAGGAAGGTAAACAATTGCACAGCTGTACATTCCCAGCAGTCTCAGCATAGCCAAACATCCACTGGGAGAAGTGAGAACTACTGCCTGCTTTCTGTTGTAATGAGAGACACTTAAAGGGGTCATGTAATGGAAAACTACTAATTTTGCTCTTTTGAAATTAGAGTTTGATGTACAGTGTATTAGCCATTTAGTGTCACATCACGTTAGTCTTCAATGTCACATGATCCTCCAGGAAAAAAATAAAAATCATATTAAAGTTTTGTATGTCTGTAACTTTTGTATGTATTTGTGTGCAGACTCTCTGGTGTGGCAGCAGTCGGTGGTCTCCACTGCAGACGTGTGTGTGAAGATTGAGAATCTGATTCCTGGTGGCCATTATCAGTTCAGAGTCAGTGCCAGTAACCCCTGGGGCATCAGCCCACCCAGTGAACCCTCAAACATGGTGACATTACCCAGCACAGGTCAATACACTCAAATCAACATAAGTACTAACCCAAATTGAACCGTCTTCCTGTCTAGGTAGCTGTATCATAAATGAAATGGATTATCTTGAAAGGCTCTTGAAAGTGTATTCGTTTGGAAAGTACATGATATTCTAGAGTAGTCTATCTATAAAAGCAGTGTGTTCCTGTTTATTCAGTGCTGCACATATATATACTGTATATATATGTTTATTTGCAAAAACAGATAACTCCGGGGGTTTTTTTTTTTCCAAGAATCATGTTTTTTATTGTGTTATCATGTTTTCATTGTGTTTTATTGTGTTAGTTAGTTGTATTTTTTAGTTATTGTCAGTAACAAACTCCGCTGACTCATATGTTTTCTGTTTTAGGGGTCGTTTCTCAGTGGTGAGGAAGTGTTTCAGTAAAGCCAGTAAGAAGGAGGTTGCTGTGAAGTTTGTCAATAAGAAGATACAGAAGAAAGAGCAGGTGGCCCATGAGGCCGATATCCTGCGTCACGTCCAGCATCCGCAGCTGGTGGCGTTGATTGATACCTATGAGTCTCCCACGGCCTACATCCTGGTTCTTGAGCTGTGAGTAAATCCATTTAAAAAGCAAAGACACTTCCATTTGACAGCCCATTTCTCAATTACACAATTATGGGACTAGACGGGGGCTCCGCATCATGGCGCAATTCCAGGGGCCCTGATTAAAGAGAGGGCCCGATATGGGATTATCTTATGCCTTGATGAACAAAATTAAGAAGAATCATAAAAATCATGCTTTCTGCAATAATCTAAAAGCCAACAGGAAAAAAAAAAGCCTATTAACTTTTTTGCTAAAGGAACAAGGATGATGCTCACTTCCAGAATGACCTACAAAATGACGTCATCCCTGCAAAATTCTATAGAGGGCAGTAGAGCTCCAAGACTCAACATATTCTAATTCTATTCAGTAAATATTCAGTAAAAAAAGAAAATTACCAATGAGATTTTAGTCTGTTTTGTTGTATGAAACGGGATGAACATTCTTGTGGAACACCAATCTCTTTTTCCGCACACGTACAAACTCAAGTGGAATTTATTTTTAAGAATGACCTGCAATGATATGATCATATTTATATGTGTTCAGGGTTGAGGATGGGCGTCTGCTGGACTATCTGGTGGCTCACGATGAGCTGATGGAGGAGAAAGTGGCATTCTTCATTAAAGACACTCTGGAAGCTCTGCAGCACCTGCACACATGCAGAGTAGCTCACCTGGACCTCAAGGTAAAACATCATACCACCACATCAGCATGCAGAATAAAACAACAGCTTATTTAGTAAAAAAAAAAAAGTAGTCATTTAGCAGATGTTTGTCCAAAACAACCCACTCAGAACACCTTAGCAACTGCATAGCAATGCTCTAGCAGCCAACAGTATGTATAGCAACCATGCAGCAGTGTTCTAAAACCCTACTGTAAATAAAACCTAATAACCTTAACCCTAATACCCCAGTATACCAAGATCCTAGCAACATCTTAGCAACTTAGAACACCCCTGCATGCTAAAAACCTAAATAAAACCAAAGACTGTAGGGGGATGAGTGTTACAGAGTCCAGCTGGTAAGAACTGTGTATGGGGAGTAGAACCGGAGGGGTTACATTGGTGCCATGACCCGGATGGGAGTGAGGTCTTAGGGGGGTGAATGTTACGGAGGCCAGCTAGTAAGAGCTGTGTGGGTAACCCTCACTCCCCTGATTTCAAGAGGCACGCTAGTGACTGACACTAGGTCTTTAGCATCCTTGTTAGCTCACCTCCCATGCCAGAAACACCAGTTCGAATTAGAGACCTGCGTGGGACGGATTTTTCAGTCCCGCCCCTGCATGCTAAAAACCTAAATAAAACCAAAGACTGTATACACCAAGATGTGTGCAAGATGCAAGATGTGTGCCAAGATATGTAACAGAGGCCAGCTGGTAAGGGCTGTGTATGGGGAGTAGAACCGGAGGGGTTACATTGGTGCCGTGGCCCGGATGGGAGTAAGGTTTAGGGGGATGAGTGTTACAGAGTCCAGCTGGTAAGAACTGTGTATGGGGAGTAGAACCTGAGGGTTTACATTGGTGCCATGACCCGGATGGGAGTGAGGTCTTAGGGGGGTGAATGTTACGGAGGCCAGCTAGTAAGAGCTGTGTGGGTAAACCTCACTCCCCTGATTTCAAGAGGCACGCTAGTGACTGACACTACGTCTTTAGCATCCTTGTTAGCCCACCTCCCATGCCAGAAACACCAGTTCGAATTAGAGACCTGCGTGGGACGGGTTTTTCAGTCCCGCTCCCGCAAGATTCTGTCCCGCGCCCGCCCGCTCCCGCAGAAATATATCTTATCTGGTCCCGCTCCCGCCCGCGACATTCATATTTTGTCCCGCTCCCGCCCGCAGAAGCCCGCATAAAAGTAATCTATATTGATTTTTTTTAGTACATCGAAGAAATGTACATGAAATGGTTCTGTAACATCTCTTAAGCTCCACAACATCCCAGCATAAACACTCCCGATAAAATATTTGTTATTTAGGCTAAGCATCAACATTCACAAACA